TGTGGGTTGGTTGACCCGTGCAAGCCCAGGTGGAACGTTTTCAGTGGTGACCCCAGAAAGTGCTGGCAGGCTTTGGCAGTCTCCACCTCTGTATGTCTTCAGCTTTCCCATTGGTATTTCCGGCCTTCAGAAATCTACCTGCCCTGGCCAGATGCAGTGCGACAGTGCTAATGCAGCGCTCTGATTTTGAAGCCACAGGGAAGGTCCCAGGATCATATCCTGAGTTTTCCCTGCACATTCCCTGCCTGTGTCCACAGCCCCATGATCCTGGCCAGCTGAGCCAGGTGAAGACCCTTCTGGGGGTGCTGTTCTGTCTGTAATGGAAACAAATAGGCAAAAACAAACTTTAAAAGAAAGAAATCCACTTGCCCTGCCCTTCCTTTCTGTCTGCCTCCACTCGGGCACCCCTGCCTCTCCCCTCCCCTCCTTGCACACACTGGGCAGATTGGAATTCTACCCTCCTAGCTGTGTGGTCCTGGGCAAGTATTTTACCTCTCTGAGTCCCATCTTTATACCTGAGTGTTCCAGAAACTGGCCTGCCTCCTAGCTGGCCAAACCAGGGTCAATATTTTGTGCCAGTGCCAAGTTTCTAAGGCTTTCTTCAAAGTGTGGGTTTTGGGACTAGCGGATGGCATAATAGTTACATCACTGGACTCCCATGTAGTTGACCACAGTTCAAATCCCGGATCCAGTGGCTTAAAACTCATGCCAAGCGTGTGTGCCCAAAAATCCTGAGAGAAGACTGGAGGAGAAGGGGTTGTGGCGTGGCCATCCTCCTGAGGGGTGATTTCTCGCTTTCTGCCAATTTCTTTCTGTCTCTCTGGTGAGCGCACATGCCCTATAGCAAAAATCTCTCTCTAAAAAAAAAGAAAGAAAAAAACAAAGCGTGGGCCTTAGTGGGGAGCCAGTAGGGACTGGATGGGGTCAGTTTGTAGGGGCAGGTGTGAGGCTCGTTTCCTGCTCCTTGTCTGTGAGTCACTCTCCCTCTCCGTCCTTTCCCTGAGCTGTGGTCATCCCATACCAGGCACTGGGTCACCTCCCCCTCCCACCACAGGCCCAGCAGGAGATGCAGCAGGAGCACAGGCTCGAGCCGGGTCCACCTCAGAGCTCCTCCATGTCCAGACCCCAGCTTTGTCTGTTCAGGGCATGTGATCAGCACCCTTAAAACCAGTGAGAACACATGTCAGACAAGTCCTTTTGGCAAATGGCTGCGTGTCAGGGGGGCTCGGTGACCTGAGAGTGCGCCAGGCATTCCTAAGGGCCACCCAGGGGCTGGGATGGAAGCAGCTTGGCTGGAGAGGGGCTGTTTTTGTTCTGTTCACAACACGGCTGTCAGGTGCTGAATGAACGTTTCTGAGGACAGCAGGGCAGCAGGCAAAACAGCATGTGCTTCCAGCCTGCTGTGCTGGGTTTGCGGCTTGGGTCGTTCCTGTGAGAGCCAGGACATCCACACTCTGGAAGGTTCATCTCCTTGACTTAAAAAGTGACTTCCAGGGACGAACAGATGGTGTAATGGTTACGCCAATGGACTTCCATATAGTTGACCGTGGTTCGAGTCCTAGACCCAGCAGCTTAAAACCCACGCCAGGCATGTGTGCATATGTGCGTGTGCCCAAAATTCCGAGGGGAGAATGGAGAAGAAAGGATGCAGCATGGCCATCCCCCACCCCGGGAAGTGATTTCTTGCTTTCTGTCTGTTTCTGTCTGTCTGGTGAGCACACACACTATAGCAAAAATCTCTCTTTCTCTAAAAAAAGGTGACTTTCACTGTCCCCACTGCAGTGGGTGTTGTGAGGATTAAGTGAGATACAAGGTCTGGAGGCCTGGCACCTGCTCAGGCAGGGGGGCCGAGGGCACGCACCGCTGCTGTCATTTTGTGGGTGGTCACAGTCCCACAGTCCCACAGGCTGGGTGAAGAGGGGTCCTTACTACCAGGAGCGGATGGTTAGAGAGGTCCATGCGGACTGCAGAAGAGGTTCGCTGGGTTTGGGAGTTCTCAGCATCTGGACCCCTTCCTGGTTTCCATCTGAGGATTCTCTTCCATGAGGATCTTGGAGGCCTGCCCCTGCAGAGCTGAGTGTGGACACAGACCTGGGCACCCGCCAGCCAGACCTCCTGCCGGCCACGAGGACAGGGCATTCACCATGGTGGCCGTGTAGCACAGCAAGTTCCAGTGGGGCGAGAAGCATGGCGCGGCGGTGGTGCCTGTCCTACTGCCACAGGGCCACTGTCATCACGCTCCTGTGTGACTGGCCAGCCTTGGCCAGAGGCTGGTTTCCGACTGTGACTCTCCCAACTTCCGGCATTTTCTGAGCTGTACAGTGGCCTTTTGCTGCTCAGGCCAGCCCTCAGTCAGCTCTGGTACATGGACCCCAGAATCCAGTGTCTCAGGGACTCTGGGTGACATGTGCTGGGAGCAGGGAGGGAGGCACAGGAGCAGGGCGGGGGGAGGAGCTGCCACTGCTGCCTGCAGGGAAGATCAAGGAAGAGTTCTTGGAGGAAGGAGCATTTGAAGGGTACTTGGAAAAAAGCCCTGGACAGAGAAAGTGGTAGAGGTGGGTGGAGTGTTTCTGTGCGGCGAGGGAACACCGTCCAGCTAGGCAGGTCACTGTTGCACTCGCTCTTTCACAGGTTCTCAAGCTGGGTCAGTCTGTCTCATTCAGTCCCAGCTTGCCAGCTGCAGTCTGGCCGTGGCCCTGGTCATGTAGCCTCTGAATCACAAACGTGAGTGACACTAGTGCCTAGGTCAGGCCTGGTGGGGAGTAGACAGTGAGGACAGTGTCTGGCCCAGAGCAGAGGCGAATACCCAGCTTTGGCCGGTGCCGGGGACTGTTGGTGAGCTAGATACCCCCTCCTGCTGGGAGGTCCGGCCTGGGCAGTTGTGTGACGCCCCTCTCCCCGCCTCAGCTCTGGAATGACTCTCGGTAAGGCCTCTCCCCTTCCTAGTGAGAGGGGGGCTTCTGCTCTGAGCTCTGTGCCTCAGGTGTCCAGTCTCCCTCTCACTAAGTGAGGCAGGAACGCGGCTTCCTCGTGTACAGGTGAGGACGCGGGGCCTCCGGGAATAACCCGTCCACTGGCAAGGCCGTCCATCCAGCCGTGGGCCAGACTGTGGCCAGTCTTCCTGCCTCCCCAGCCTGGCCGTTTCCCACAGCCTCATACGTCCCACCTGGAGAGAGGCCATGCCTGGAGGGAGAGGGTGGCGAGGAGGGACAGAGGAGGGCCAGGCTTCAGGGGCATTTGAATGAAGGAGAGCAGGTGGGCAGCCCTGTTCAAGGGCTCTGAGTGTTGGTGTGCAGTGTCTGGGGGAGCCAGTGGGTGGGGCAGAGCAGAGTGGCCAAGTACCTCGTACCTTGGCTGGGTTCTGTTGGTGGCAGGAGCCTGTGCATGGTATAGGCAAGGCCCTGCCCTCCTGTTCCTCTGTCCTGCATAGCCCTGCACCCTCCTTGTACCTCAGGGCCCCGGCTCCTCACCTGGGCCTGGCCACTGTCACGTAGACCCTCTCAGTCCTCAGTTCCTGGTCTGTAAAGTGGATGCGATGGCCTTTGTCTTACCTCTCCTTCCAGGGAAGTGATAACATAAAGAGCCTGCCAGGTGTGAACGTGTAGTTTGTAACGTGAAGGCAGAGTGCCCCGAAAGGAGCCAAGCAGGGCTGACTTATGATAGACATTCCCTCTGGGAGTGTTAGTGTAAGTTGGAGGGAGGCACCTCCCAGCTTGGGGGGGTGCACCAGTGTGTGCTCTGACCTCATCCGGAGAGTCTCCCTGCAGTGGGGGTCCTCGGGGGCCTGGAGAAGTGAAGGTGTCTCCTCCTGTCCACCCTGGACTTCATGTGCTGAGACTGTGAGGCGCGGGAGAACTTGGGGCTCAGCTCATCAGGGTGTGGAGGCTGAATGGCAGCCCGTCCCACTGCCAGCCCACCGGGTGTGCTGAGCTAAGAGGGCCCCGGGGGCCCCTCATAGCCCTTCTGTGAGGTGCAAGTGCCACTCCCTCCCTGCTCGACAGTAGTGAAAGCCCAGTGGGCTGATGACCACACAGGCCTGCCAGCAGCAGATCTGAGACCCCAGAGTCCGCAGATCTGCCCCCCCGTGCCTGTGACTATGAAGACCTGTGGCCTAGCAGGCAGAATGGAGGGGTCTTGTCCAAGTGGGTGGGGAAGAAGTTCTGGGCTGAGGAACTGAGAAGGCAGAGCGCCACCACTCCAAGGTGTAGGGTGCAGGGGCGGATGTCCTTGGGGAGTGTGAGCAAGGTGTGCAGCTCTTGGCAGCATGGCGTGAGTGGGAGGGAGCCAGCGTGGGTCAGGGTGGGGTCCTAGCCCAGAGGCTGCACTCAGGGCTCTGAGGCTCATTTGGTAGGAAAGGGGGCATGGGTCGTGGATGATAGTGCCCCATGAGAGCCAGGCAGAGCAGAATGGCATGGCCCTGGGAGGCCTACAGATTGAGGGTGGTGATGCAGGGTACCTACTCTAGTACTCGGGGCACATCTTCTGGGGCTCAGGTCATAGAAAAGTTGAGCAAGAAATAGGTGACAGGGTTTAGGAAAGAATTATATCTTACTTTCTGGCATGCCCCGGGAGTGCTGCTTTTTACTAGATGTGTTTTTTAGGTCGTTGCTTGGAGCTTGCTTGTTTTCAGAAGAATAGTTTTCCAGCTCGAAACATGTAACCCAGTCATTTTTCCCTTTTGAAAGGAGTACAGGGTGTAATTTAATCCCTCTCCTGTGTTTGTGATTGTACAGTAACGCCACACAGTGGGCCAGCTGCGTGGCACAGCGGTAACACAATGTTCCTGGGGCTGGACCCATGGAGGAGGCCCTGGTTCACACCCAGAGCCCTCCCTGTGTGTGCTCATGTGTGTGCTTGTCCCTGCAATTCTGGCTGACTGAGGCTGGGGTAAATCATGGCAGACAGATGTTCCCACTTCCCCTTAGCCCCTGACTCCCTCTCTCATGAAATAAATAAAGAAAGAAGATAAAGGAAGAACCGAGTGTAAAATAGTGAGGAATTGGTTAAATAAATTGTGCTTTAGTGGATTCGCCCTGTAGTGCAGCATTTAAGGGAGCTAGATTTCAAATGGCTGACCTTGGTTCAAATCCTGGCCCCAGCAGCTTGAAAAACATGCCGGGCACGTGTGCGTGTGTGCCCCAAATCCTGACAGGGTAGAGAAATGGAGTAACAGGATCGCAGCATAACTACGCCCCCATCAGGCTGTTAAAAACATGATGCTTTATTGACCTTTTTTTTTTTTTTTTTTAGAGGTTTTAGCTATAGGGCGCGTGCGATCACCAGACAGACAGAGACAGAGAGACAGAAAGAGAGAAATCACCCCCTAGGGGGGATGGCCATGCCACAATCCCTTCTCCTCCTTTCTCCTCTTGGGATCTTAGGCATGCACACACATGCGCCTGGCGTGAGTTTTAAGCCACCAGGTCCGGGACGCGAACCATGTTCAACTATATGTGGGAGTCCAGTGACATAGCCATTACACTAACTGCTGGTCCTGCTTTATTGACCTTTTAATGACAGTGCTTTATAGGAAAATGTAATGTCCTAGCATTGTGTTCATTATAGCATGTTAATTAAAAAGTAAGATCTGAATCTGTGTAGTATAATTCTAATTTGGGGGGAAAATCTATATTTGATAATTAGAAGAGTATACAGGTTGAATATCACTTATCTGAAATGCTGGGGGCCAGAAGTGTTTCAGATTTCAGATTTTTTCAGATTTTGGAATGTTTACATGTACGTAGTGAGGTACTTCAGAATAGAATCTAAGTTCAAGTTTGGAATTCATTTATGTTTCATATATGCTTTATACCCTTGCCCTGAAAGTAATTTTATATAATTCTTTTGTTTAAGAGAGAGGTTTTTGTTACAGGGCATGTGTGCTCACCTGAGAGAGAGACAGAAAGTGAGAAATCACCTCCCGGGGGGATGGCCGCACTGCAGTCCCTTCTCTTCCATTCTCCTCTCAGGATTTTGGGCACGCACGCCCGGTGTGAGCTTGAAGCCTCTGGGTCCAGGACTTGAACTTGGTCAGCCATGTGGGAGTCCAGTGATGTAACTATTATACCACGTGCTGGTCCTTATACAATTATTTTGTATGGCACCTTTTTTTCTTTCTTTCTTTTTTTGGAGAGGTTTTTGCTATAGGGCACGTGTACTCGCCAGACAGACAGAGAGAGACAGAGAGATAGAAAGCGAGAATCACCCCCCAGGGGGGATGGCCACGCTGTAATCCCTTCTCCTCCATTCTCCTCTTGGGATCCTGGGCACGCGCACACACGCGCCCGGTGTGAGTTTAAGCCACCAGGTCTGGGACTCGAACTGCGGTCGACCATGTGGGAGTCCAGCGACATAGCCATTACACTAACTGCTGGTCCCTATGGCATCTTTTTTTAAAAAAATTATTTTAATGAGGGAGAGGGATTTTTTTTTTAATGTACTTATTTTTTCTGTCAGAGAAAAAGGGGAGTGGGGAGGGAACCCCAATAAAGTCTTCACAGTCCTTTGCACCCTCAGCCTCAGCCAGCTCGGATGTGGAAACACATGCACCCAGCATGTCGAGGGAGGCCCCAGGATATGAACCGGGAACCTTTCCATGTGGGTCCAGTTGGTTACTGCTGTGCTTGCTCTTACCATGTCGTTGTTCTCTTGCCCCAACATCCCAGCTAGCTGGGATTACACGTATCTACTGCTGTTCCCGGCCTGTTTGGGTGCACCCGGGAATGGAACCCATGCGTCCCATGCGGCCTCAGCTTCATGCAGCGGTGCCCTACCACTTGCACCACCGGGGCCAGGCCTGCATTGATGTGTTTTGATTGCACCCTTCCTATGAGGTCAGGTGTGGAACTTTCCATTTGTGGCATCATGTAGAAGCTCAAACAATTCATTTTTAGATGAGCGGCGATCAGTCTGTACCCACAGACGCTAGAGGTTACCCCTGAGATCTAGTTAGAATTGTTAGGCATGAGTAAGTGACTGGGGATTTAAACATCTCTTGCAGGGAGTATATTTTAGTTTGATCAGGGAAGGACACTTCTTTTGTACATTGTTTCTGGCCACATCTAGAACTTGGGTCTGCCTTGTTCTCACGTCTCCACTGTTAGGAAAGCGGAGGCCACTGTGCCACCTGTGGGCTTAGGGGACCCTGCTGCGGTTGCTTTCTGGAGCTTTCTGACCACACCTCTGTCTGGTGTCCGGGCTTGCATCCTAGCCGCCTGTGCTCTGGCTGGGATTCTTGAGTCCTGGGCCTGGCCCTAGGCCCCAGTTGGGAGGTGGGGACCGAGCTTGCAGCAGCTGCTAAGGGGAGCACACAGGTACTGTTAGTTTGGGCAGCTCAGGCCTGGGGCCTGCCTGATCCCAAAGCCCAGCAGGGCCTTCTCCAGTGGTCACTGTAATGTCCTGACAGTGAGGCCCAGCTTTCCTGGGTCTTCAGATCGCCTTCATATTTCTGACCACATTTTCAATTTCCATGAGCAGCCAGTGTGATTGGACCCTGGGCCGTTTGGAGGAGAGACACTCCCAGGCACACACACCCACCCTCAGTGAAGCCTGCAGGCACGTCTGGCCTTCTGGTTAAGACGTGCTGGTCTCCTCCCTGTCCACGCTGCCCAGCTGACCACACAAGGGTGTGGAGATGGCTTTGTCTGGGGTCTGGGGGTCAGCTGGGAGGTTTGTCCTGGCCCAGATTTGCCCCAACCCAGAACAGGGGACACCCAGGGAGCAGGGGACTGCCCTACCGACTTTCTTGTCAAGCACATAGCCCTGCACCTCCTCCAAAAACAGTCCTGACAAGCGGGGGTGTCTCCACCTGAGAGGAAAGAAGCATTGTTGAGGGTGGGGTGGGAGTGAGGGGACTGCTGGGAGGGGCGCCTGTGCCCAAGACTGTGTGTCCTGTGACTTTGGCCATGCCCCAGTGGTTGTCGGGCACTGCCATGGCCCGCTCCCACCCTGGCAGCAGGTAGGCCTCCTTTTGCCCTTCCTGGTGCCTTTGGCCTTGGTGTCATTCAGCCCCGGCCTGTTCTGTTTTGACAGCGTGTTCTCAGCATCTCCCTGTTCCCGAGTGCTGCGCTGCCCTGCCCTGCCCTGCCCTGCCCTGCCCTGCCCTGCTCTGCCCTGCCCTGCTCTGCCCTGCCTGGCCCTGCCCTGCCCTCG